GTAACGCTCCACTGCTTCTCTTCGCCCATGAGGCTTTAGCTTCAATGCTAACGCGGCTAACCTAGCTACCTAACCTAACATCAAGCTGCTGTGCTCGCTGAGGAGAAACGGTTTCAACCCGCAGATGAATATAAAATAATATGATCAGTGAAGGAAAACGTTCCCTCGTGTTGTTGACGGAGAGTAGCGCGCGGTTCGAGTCCTCCTCTGCTAAAGCAGCCCAGGCAGGCCTCAGCCTGCGGTTCGCGCATGCGCTCTGGGCACCATGTCCTCCAAAACAAACCGCCTGACCGGAGAGAAAAACGGCCGCGACGGGTTTTTATACTTATTTAATCAGTCAGTCGGTGTTCAAACACAACAGGCATATACGGGCATGAGCGTCCACCTTCCTGAACAGCAAAACAACAGATAACGAGGGAAATATTAATAAGAATGCTAATACATGAAAAGGCAGCTTAGAGGGGAGCTCCACCGATTTTCAAAATTTCTGCAAAATGCAATAGTTGAGATGAAACAGAGCCATTCAGAGTGGTTTGACTCGAACATGCCTCGTTCTGGAGAAACTAACCGAATCAGAATTGTTCACAGTGGTGGTGATAGGAACCAGACGTCTGAAGAGTTTAATGCCTCTGAAAGCTCCCTCCCAAAAAGTTCTTACATGAAATGGTTATGAATACATACTGGTTTTACAGTGGTTTAGTGATCAAATTAGGGTCTAAACCATATTTTAATCAATTTATTTTAATCTATTCATGATGGAGGGATACATAAAGGGTGTTGTAAGACTAAATAGTCCTCAAAGAATTTGGCACTATTTTATCGTCATCAACTTTACAAATAAACACTCAGAAGACTCGTGTAGGTTCACTGCTGGCTTTGGATAGTAAATAAAGTGGCTATATATATGTTGTAGTCATGGCGACCCCTGGTTCCTATCACCACCACTGTAAAGACGTCTGAGTCTATAAGTTTCTCTACAATAAACCATTTATGTCAAACCACTCCGAATGATTCTGTTTACATCTCAAGGACTGAATTATGCAGACATTTTGAAAAATCAGTGGACTTCCCCTTTAATGAGGGGCTCTGTCAGCACAAATTGGTCAATTAAAATTAACAGTTCTGGACTCTCTTGTTTTTCACACTTTAGAAAGTTAATACAACAAGTGAAGATTCATCTTCTGTATATTTTGATGGGAAACCACATGAGAACATCGACACGTGTGTAAAGTATTTGCACAACACAAAGTATTTAGTAGTTTTCTCCTCCAGCAATTGGACGACCTTCACAGACATTTCATTAACTGGATTTATCTCAGTATTTTTAGACATAAGTCAGTTTGGAAAGGTGTTCCAAATGTATGAGCTCCACAGTTTCTGTCTCATTCTGACAGAAACAACATGGGTTTGTATCTAAATGAAAAATGTCCCTCAAAAATTTGTTGAAAGGATAAAGATCCTTTAAAATTTTCAAATTTAACTCTTGCTTTTAAAATTGGATGGACCAGATGTCTTTTCCTCTGTGCTGAGAGTGACTGTCCAAATGTTTAGAAAATAGACCTCAAAGAAAATTCATTTTGAATCTGAAAGTCTGTAAAGTACTGAGTTATGCAGCTCTGCATATCGAGAGCATTTATTCAAATCTTCAGCGCTTGTCGTTATAAACCCACATGGAACAGAAATACATGGGCTTGCTTTTTTTATATGTGAGATGCATTTTAAATACATTCCAAATATTATTCCAAAATGTATTCCACACACTGAAGTAAACAAAACATTTTTGATAATTTTCATATATTTTTAAATGTAATAAATACGTTGTTCATGTGCTTCTTTTCCATGTTAAAGGAATGCTTCAGCATTTTTAACCAAATGTCTACTTGTCAGATCTGTGCTGTCGATCAGCAGCGATATTAATTTTGATATATTTTCCTGAATTTAGAACAGAACAGAAAACACTCTCCCTCAGCAGATGCCCATTGGCTAAAATAATCAGGGTCTTTCTTCAGAAAATAATATTTGAATATTGGTTTTAAGGTTGCAAAACCATATGGGAAAGAAATACATGGGCATTTTTGAATGTGAGATACATTTTAAATATACTGTTTCACTCTAATATGTGTTCTAAACACTGAAGTACATGTGTTTGATAAGAACATTTAAAGTGTTTGTTTCTTTATGGGTGTTTACAACACATTAATAATGTTTGTGACGTTGCATAAAAGGCTTGTACAATGTGACAATATTATCAGACATGCTAGGAGAAATTAATATTGTACAAATCTAAAAACAGTCACAGCTGCATGTAGATGAAAGCCCTTTGTGTGTTTGTGCATATGCAGCATCTCAATACGCAGCATCTCCATCCAAATATTTCATCAGATTCTGATGTTTGTAGTCAGTCTGGTAACTTGTGAACTGTTCTCACTGCTTTCTGTGTGGGATATTAAACGTCTCCTCACCGCTAAGTCATCGTCTCAGGCGTAGCTGTGCGACCTGTGATGCGAGTTTAGTACTTGTAGTTTATTAAGTAGTTTGAACACTATTGAACAAATTAAAATGTTTGTAAAAGAGGGTTTAGAAATGTACAGAATACTCAGACATTTTTCAGTTTGGGGCTGAAGCTGTTAGCATTTGCTGGAAGAAAGCAACATAGAACATTTCACAATATAATTATTAAAATTCACATCTTTTATATGCTGCCTATGTTTTTTTCACAGTTATTATGACAAAGTGTTCCTTTGACTGAGGTTATATAACCTGTTTTTCTGTGAATTCAGGGGTACCTTGATTATTTTTCCCACACTTTTGTCCATGTGCTCTTTGGCTAAGTTGCGTTTCCATCAAAGCTTTGATTATTTGGCTTTAAAAAAAACTTATTTTACATAATTTGTTCAGTGTTGCAGCAAAGACGTATAAATGTGAGATATATGTAAAAATAGTGTTTACGTGTGTTTTATCATTTGTGTGCATGTATTTCGTCAGATTTGTTCAAGTAATAGCAAATCACAGTAACGTGGCAACTATGTTACTGTGTACTAGTGAAGGTAATGCATGTTCGTGCGTTTTTCCATGTTATATTATTGCCAAGCTAACGGTGGTGTATATTCACTTTCTCTGCACTGTGGCTGAAAAACCTGTAGATCTGCAGCACATCTCATGTGACATGCAGTGCCTCACATCAAAGAGATGTTCTAGTAGTTTTCTGCATGAGGTGATGCAAAAATAAACATTACTTTAAAGAACCTTAGCCTAAGCATCTACCAGCATTAAAGATTTATCTTGTTTTCTCCCAGAAAGTGGGGGTGGAAAAAAAGTTTCAGCAGCCCAGAACAGCTGATACCAGCAGTTACGTAAAATGAAAATGTAGGCGTGTAAATTGGTGCAAATTGAAAGATTGGTGAAAGAATATAGCAGATTTGGGATGCCCAGTGTATCATATGAACGCAGTATCATAAACTGGAACTGAATATTTAGGTGATGAATCTGTTAGCAGACGTTATAGGAGGAAGAGGAACCAGTTCACTGGGTGATATATGAGCAGGACAGCTGGAACATGAGAAGAAGCCCCTCCTGTTGTGGAAATGTACATGTGTAGCCACAACAACCTGGAAATACACTTTATATGCATTTCTTGAGCAAAACATCACAAACTATATATACAGTTTTGTCAGATTTCAAATAGGTGTTTGAAACATTAGTCTGGCTATCAGTTCCTGGTTTATAGTCGTTTGGACACCCCTAGTCAGGTTACATGTTTTGTTGATTTTCTAAGGGAAATAATAAGTTAACAATCCTAAAATATGCATGTCTTTTTAGCTACAGTACCAGTTGGCCTACAGAATGATAACTAGCACTGTGCAACATTTATATTTTTCCATATTTTAAACAAACACAAAAATAATGTTTTTCTTTGTAATATTTTCATACATAGCTTGGCTTTGACCTTTTTGCTAAACATGATATCAGTGACTGTTTGCATGAGACATAATATCAGAGCCAGTTTTAGGGGAAGCCTTTCCTGTTCTTCCCATTATACCAAAATATGACTGCAGTGAATAAAGGTGAACCGAACTGAGGGGTTAAAAATGTATATAAATATGATATTATTGGTTAATATTACTTCACCCCACCCGCTGGTGCACAGTAACATAGCCAAAATTCAGAAGACCTTTTAGAGGCAGCAAAATTCGTTACATTTTGTTGGAAGATAGAAAACAAGAATTCTCTCTCTGACAGTCTGTCAGGCCTCTAACGATTAGCATTGGTTAGCATTGGTTGATCTGTCATTGGTTATCATTGGGCAGTTTAAATACTTCTGTTGTTGGTCATCACTGGTCAGTCCAAATACGACTATCATCACTTATCTTTCATCAGTTATCACTGCTTAATCTAAACACTTCTGTAATTCGTTATCATTGATTAACTACAACACTTGTGTCGTCGATTATCATTGGTGAATTTAACACTTCTGTTATGGTTTTAATTGGCTGATCTAAATAGTAATGTCATCAGTTATTATTGGTTAATATAAATCACTGGTTTATTAATATCCCTCATTGGTTATCGTTTCTTAATCTGACATATTATCGGTTGTTATTATTAGTTAACGTAAATACTTCTGTCCAACGACAGAGACATTTTTCTTCATTCAGTGTTTACTATGGTATATGTTGTTAATTCTTTATTCTTTGTGTGCATTGCTGTTGTTGTGTTATTGTTTTGCTGTCCAGTGTGGACCAGAGGAGGACGGGTTCCTCTTTTGAGTCTCGGTTCATCTCCAGGTTTCTTCTTCGTACTGTTAGGGAGGTTTTTTTCCTTGCCACTCTTTCCTTTGGCGTACTCAGTTGGGGCCTGGATTTCTGTAAAGCTGCTTTGTGTCGGCGCCCGTTGTAAAAAGCACTAAACACATGAACTTGAATTGAATTTGTCCTGTGAATGAAATGACCTTATTATGTGCTTAATATGACCAGAGGCATGATGACCTTAATGTGTGCTTG